GGGGGAGGTGAGAGATGAATTCTTGGGCGTGTCCTAAAATTTGGGGAGGGGTCCCCATTTTGAGGTGGGGGGGTGGAGAGTGATGGGGGGAGGGGGAATTTTGGGGTGATTTTTGGGGGGGCGTTTCCAGAACCTTCCCTGAGTCCATCTTCGAAGCTTTTTGGGGTTGGGGGAACCCCAAAAACCCACCCGAAACCCCCCAAATTTTGAGCTGGGACCACCCCAGCGCTTTTTTAGGGGGGATCCCAAATTTAGGGGGGTGGTCCAGCTATGGGGGGGGACCCCAAAACTCCCAAATTACCCCCACCCCCCCTCCCTCATTTCTGCCTCATTTTTGGGGTGAAATGGCCCCGGAATTTCACGGGGGTGGCCCGAAATGTGAGCGGGGAGACTCGGGATTTTTGGGGAGGCTCCGCAGGGTTTGGGGGCGCTCAGAGGAGGGCGCAGAAGAATTTCTTCTCGCGGAAGGGATTCTCGGAGGTGGGCACGGGCGTGAGCAGCGGGTCCTCGCAGGCGTGCGCCTCGCAGTAGCTGAGCAGCTCCGCCGCCGCCTTGGACACCTGCGAGCCCAAAAATACACCTGGGAGCTCAAAATACACCTGGGAACCCCAAATTCACCTGGGAACCTCAAAAATCATATCTGGGAGGCCAAAAATACACCTGGGAGTCCAAAAATACACCTGGGAAACCCAAAAATACACCTGGGAACCCCAAATTCACCTGGGAACCCCAAAAATACACCTGGGAGGTCAAAAATACACCTGGGAAACCCAAAATTACACCTGGCAACCTCAAAAATACACCTGGGAACCCCAAATTCACCTGGGAACCCCAAAAATACACCTGGGAGGTCAAAAATACACCTGGGAGCTCAAAATACACCTGGGAACCCCAAATTCACCTGGGAACCTCAAAAATCATATCTGGGAGGTCAAAAATACACCTGGGAGTCCAAAAATACACCTGGGAAACCCAAAAACACACCTGGGAAACCCAAAAACACACCTGGGAACCTCAAAAATCATATCTGGGAACCCCAAATTCACCTGGGAACCTCAAAAATCATATCTGTGAGGTCAAAAATACACCTGGGAAACCCAAAAATGCACCTGGGAGCCCAAAATTCACCTGGGAGCCCAGAAATACACCTGGGAGCCCCAAAAATATACCTGGGAACCACAAATTCACCTGGGAACCTCAAAAGTAACATCTGGGAGGTCAAAAATACACCTGGGAAACCCAAAAATACACCTGGGAGCCCCCAAAATCACATCTTTTCCCCATTTTTCACCTTCCCCCCTTTTCCCTGTTTTTTCCCTATTTCCCCCCAATTTTTTCTCATTTTCCCCTTTCCCCCCATTTTTCTCCTTTTTCCCACAATTTTTCAAGTTTCCCCCCGCTTTTTCCCCCGTTTCTCCACATTTTCCTCATTTATGCCCATTTTTCCCCTTTTTCACAGTTTTCCCTTGTTTTTTTTCCCATTTCCCCCCTTTTTTCCCCCTTTCCCCCCCTTTTTTCCCCATTTATTGCCATTTTCCCCCTTTTCCCCCATTTCCCTCCATTTTCCCCATTTTTTTCCCATTTTCCCTTTTTTTTCCCCATTTATTCCCATTTTTCCCCTTTCTCACAGTTTTCCCTGTTTTTTTCCCATTTTCAACCTTTTTTCCCCATTTATTCCCATTTTCCCCGTTTTTTTCCCATTTTCCGTTCTTTTTCCCCATTTATTCCTATTTTTCCCCTTTTTCACAGTTTTCTCTGGTTTTTTTTACCATTTTCAACCTTTTTCCCCATTTATTCCCATTTTCCCCCTTTTTCACAGTTCTCCCCTGTTTGTTTTCACATTTTCCCCCTTTTTTCCCCATTTATTCCCATTTTCCTCTTTTTCAGTTTTTCCCTGGCTTTTTTCCCATTTTCCCCTTTTTTTCCCCATTTTCCCCCCCCTTTTTTCCCCATTTATTCCCATTTTCCCCCTTTTTCGGTTTTTCCCTGTTTTTTCCCATTTCCCCCCCTTTTTCCCCATTTTCCCCCTTTTTCACAGTTTCTCCCTGTTTCTTTCCCCCATTTCCCCCTTTCCCCCCTTTTTTCCCGTTTTCCCGTGTTTTTTTTTCCCCTTTTCCCCCTTTTTTCCCGTTTTCCCGTGTTTTTCCCCCAAACCTTGACCCGGCAGAGGCTGGCCTCGATCTTCAGCTGCTCCACCATTTTCCGGGCCTGGCCCACGCTCAGGGTGCTGCTGGGGGGGGCCTCGCCCTTCATGGGGGGGCTGCGGGGGCACCCCAAATTTGGGAACCCCCCCCCAAAAAAACCCTCC